CACATATGCGCCACAACTGGCACCGCCTTCCATCACCTCCGGAACATCGCCAGACTACGGCACTACCTCACCCCTCACGCTGCTGAAACACTGGTCCACGCCTTTATCACCTCAAGGCTGGACTACGGGAACTCTCTCCTCGTCGGCCTTCCTGGCACCTCCCTCCACAAGCTGCAGGTCATCCAGAACTCCCACCCTCGCTCGCCTCCACTGGCTCCCCATCCCCCAGAGGATCGAATTCGAGATCCTCATCCTCACCTACAAGGCCATTCACGGCCTTGCTCCCTCCTACCTCTCCGACCTACTATCCCCCTACTTACCTGGAGCTCCATCCCCCAGTGCCTTCGCCTTGCTTCCTCCCTTTCCTCCTTCAAGGCCGGTCTCAAGACCTTTCTCTTCAACCGTGCCTTCAGCTCCCCTCTCGACTCTCTTCCCCCTCCTTGCTCCCTCCCTTCCCCCCTCTCACCCTGACCATTTCCCCCCTGCTCGGGTCCTGACCCAACTGTCCAACACCTTGGGACGTCCTCCTGACGTGAAAGGCGCTCTATAAATGGAATCTTGTTTTTGTTGTTGTCTGAGGTAGGTTCCTCAGAAACTACACCTATTCCTCCCTCTCCAAGATCCTGGAACATATTGTTGGTTCTCCCTCTCCCACCATTTTCTATATGAGTCCCTTCATCTGGTTTCTCTCACACCCACAACACCACAATAGCCCTAATCAAAGTCACAAATGACACCCTCTCAAGCTTTCATGCTACACTGTAATGATCACTGAGAAGCTTGCAGGGAGTTCCTGCTATCCCTCTTTCCATTCCAGACACAGGGAAATTTCCATGTTTAGAAAACATGTACTCTCAGACTTACTTAGAAATCCATCTTCATGCTCAAAAGTATCTGTGTGTCAGACACGTAGCTAACCAAAATGAAATTTACATACTGCCCTTTGGTGACATCATCCGTCAGCATGGGGTCTGCAATACTACCTCTACTTCTCTGCCTTCATACTTGGCTCCAAGACCATTGTTGTCCTGATATACTGCCCAACAAACATGGAGCCCTGGGTGAATGCCAACTTTCTTCAACTGAATTTTGATAAAATTGAAACCACTCTGCAGGGCTCCCACAATTGCCTGCTCACCTCTGGCTCCAACTGTAGTATCCTCCCTCCTTAGCTGTGCTTAACGATGTGAAAAGTGCTAGATGTTATTACTTCAACTCTTAAGGCAGCCCAGAATCTTAATTTCCAGCGTTGAAAGTAAAGCTTCCCCAATTTAACAAAGTGGTTTGCCTTACCTTTCACTTCTAATTCCAATAGAGTGTGAACAAACCTGCCTAAGATGTCCCTGTTTCTAGCTAAAGCAGCACGATTTTACTGGAACTAATAATCCTCCATTATACACACTCCCTCAGGGCACTGCAGCGGTTTTCAAGTTGACTTGTGAAAAGTGTACTTTCCTGCTTTTTCCACTTTAGGTCCAGTGCTTGGCTTAATTGCCTGCATTCGATATACCCTGGACAGTTTTCATTCAATGCAAATGACTCAGCTTAAGATGTGCTTTATCCTTTCATAGCTTGTTCAAGGAACATTCCTTGCCATTGACTGAGGGCCTCCGACAGACTGCTGTACCACAAGGATAATTATTATTATAACAACAAGTTGCAGTGTACGATCTAGACCAGGGTGTGTGAGGTATTGCAAAATGTGTAGTAATGCAGCATGTGCACAGCCAGGGAGTAGTGATTGGGATGGAGCAGATAGTGGCTCCTGAGGGTTGGGTGTTTCGCTGAGGTATTAGTTATGAGGCACATTTAAGGAAATAGCTCCAGGAATAAAGATTGAACAGGAGGGGATGTGATTAACATGCAAGTTTAAGATATATTGACAAGGGATGAACAACAAGATAAACAGAAGTCAAGATTACAATGAAGCATTTGCGGTCTCAAGAATAAGGAACAAGTTAGGAATAAAAGAAAGAACAAGAGAGGATTGGGGCACTAGGGAGACAGAGTTGAGGTATGTGTTGGGAACTGCAGACTGATAGAGCTGTCAGTGCTTCCCAGGCAGTCACAATTTGTTGAGCTCAGTAGTTCTTAAAGTACAAGTTTGCTTGTTGTGCTAAAGTTATTTTATTTTTGTCTTGCTGTACCGTATCCTGTTTGTAGAATATTGCCCATTGAATGAAGCGGAATGGTTTATATGATAAATAAAGTGTTCTGGATAGTTCTTGAGATCGCTCTGTCTGGTCTGTACTCACCTCATAAGAAAAGAGGTGAAGGACTGTGACAGGTGTCAAACATATTTGATGGCTCATCCATTAGTTTCTAAAATTGCCGTGATATACTGCGCTGGAATTTTTCTTTAAATGAAACCTCCTCTTTTTAATGTAAGACTTATTTTCAAACCTGTGCATTTTGCATTGCATGAGTGACATTCCCATTCATTCAAAGACAACTTGAAAGAGTTAGTAAAAATAGTCAATCAGATGGCGCGTAGAATGCGTTTTTTCACATACACATGTCACGGCAAACAACTAGCGTTGAGCATTAAAGCTATATTTTATATTTTGTTAAATTTAAAATAAGTTGTTGAAACGTAGTTCAAGATGTCACGGAAGTGAAAAGTGCTGAAACATAGGAAATTCCAAGATTGTTGAACAGAAGATTATTTTTTCATTGAATGTTATGGCAAGGCATCCTGCCCGATTTCCAATGAAGCGGTTGCAGTTATGAAAGGTTACTATAGACATTTTTAGGTTAACGTAAATGGTCCTTTCAGTTAGACGAGTTTGACACCCCTCTTCTAGACAGCTAATAGCATCAGGGTGTCCCCTCCATCATCAAGTGTAGCTGCACTTCTTTATGTTCCTGCTTATCTCACCACAAACCTCTTGAATTTTTATTCACTATAAGGGTTTATTAGATCGCTATCTTCATTGCTCCAGTGTGAGATTATGCTTAAGATCCTTTCAACTGATGTTAGTTTCTAATTGTTGATTACTATTAGTCACTTGATGCAGTTTGTGAGGATAGAGCAGTTCAACTGGCTGCCAGACAACAGCATCCTGACTTGAGTTCCTCTTCGGGGACCTTCTGCTAAATGTTAGGAAGAAGTCCAACCAGAGCAGCTGAGAACAATAGGTCCATCAAGATGGTTAAGCATTTTTCAGAAGAAGGCATGGAGTTTAAATGAGACTATAAAATGAACATATATATGAGAATTGCCTGAAGGAGTTGGAGGTACCCTGTAAAATTTAATGAAAACAGCCTGGAGGAGTCAGAGAGAGCACTGCAGATGACTGTTTTACTGATATTGTCAGAAAGATTAATGACAAAGAAGAAAGGGAATAATCACCTATGATAATGTTGGACTGAAAGGTAATCGTGATCGCGTAATGTGTTGGAGTAAAATCACTTTTTTCCACAACAGTTTATTGCTTTGTATCCTCGCTTATGTATATCTTGACAGGTTTTGGCACTGTATGCTTCCACAAAACTTTTCATCGCGTGGTCCAACAAAGAAAGTTATATTTATCGCTACCTAGTTTCTTCTCTATTATCCTGACACTTTTACCGACAATACTGAAGAGTGGTCCCTAGGCCCTGGGGGCCCACTTCTCCACATCAGTTAATTTGTCACCCAGATTTCTGATGATTCTGCTCAACATTCAACAGATTCCTTCAGTCTTTGAGCTTTCAGTGTATTATAGCCCTCATTTCTGTCACAGTATAATAGCTGAATCAGTAATACTTCTCGAAACATGAGAACTCCAGCGCAGAACCATCTACCAGGACCCCCATAGAGTTGGCTTATGATAATCCTTGCATTCCGAGATTCCCTTTTTAAACGCAACACTTTGGAGCCAGTTTAGCCCCAAGGAGATCTCGCTTACCTCTTCCTTCAATGATGACAACCACAAGTTGGTCAGTTGGCATGCTGGTCATTGGGTTGTTTCAAAATTACGATTACAGCTTAAATATAAGCTGTTGACCATCTCGAATGGAATTCTTATTTCTTGATTTCTGAAGCTGCGTGCAAGAAGCATGGTGCTGTTTTGTACCAAACACTTCTTTTAATTTCTCAACTCTATAAAAACCAAGTCAGTTGCAAGGTTTGAATATTCTGTGCCTCTCACATCTGAGTAGATATAGAGTCAATTCACTTTACAGTATATTCTATGAAGCGCTTTGAGACGTCTCGAAGACGTGATAAGACACTATCTTCTAAAGCATCTCTCACATTCTTGGACAGAACACAAAACAAGGCTTGTTATCTGTTTTTAATGTTACCCTACGACATTTTTCTCTCTTACACAATTTTTAAAACAAAGATTGATGAACTAATTTATCAACAAGAAGTAATTAAGTACAATAATTTATAAATACATTACTACCGAAGGCATTTTAGATTCTGCTGTGTTTCCACAATCATAGAGAGAAATTTGTATGAGGCACTTGTCTTACAGAATATCAAACGTTGAATATATTGGAATAATGTGTGACTCCAGGATGAGGAACACTATTTAGAAACTAAAGAAATCATCCAATTATGAACATTTTACACATTCAGAAATTAAAAACTAATACAATTCTTTTCGCACCAATTGTGGTGATGCTGACATGAAACTGCTTCATTATTATACATTTAGGCACTTTAGATTTTAGAATGTCAGTTTTTTTTGTTTTAAATGTAAGTATGATGAATTCTTCATACATACTTTATGGCAGGTTAACAGAGGGATTGCTTTGCTGTCAATCATGGAGATGTCTGTGGACTGCTCAATTGAACCTGGTTATCCAAATTGAGGTTTGGTGTTGAACTGGGGGGAGGGGGTAATAAGCAAAAAAAAAGCTGTATATTGGATACTAATTACTATCAATAGTGATCTTTTTATTATGTTTCATAATGCAAAATCTTATTAGACTAGTATGCTGCTTAATGATGAATTATTTTATTTAGAACATTAATACCTCTGATTTACCTTTTACTTTGCACTGACCAGTTCTACAGGAGCAGACCAAGAAGGCAAGGAATCTGTGTCTGACTGCCCATCAACTGCAGTGTTTATCACAGATGATGAAGATTCTCCTTCATATGGAAGAGCGGGTGGAGTATCTAGCTGCTGAGGTCTTTTTAGGAAGCTGTGTCAGAGAGCAAGTCAGAAATGTTCGAGGTAAAGACTGTTCAGTCAGTTTACATTTATTTGTTTATTTTAATCAAATTCTTACTTAACTCCTACATTGCACAAGTCATAATAAATGTTATGGTCCCAACTGATATGACTTACTATACACCATTGTATATGGACCAGACTGTTGTGTGTGTGTGATCCCGACATGAGGGCTTGACTTGAACTCATGATCTATTCTCGACAAATACTCCAGTGTAGCAGCCACAAAGATTATATTGCAGAAGGTGACAATGCCTTGCCAGGTGTGATGGCCAGGGCAGAATTCATATGAGGTTTCAAGAGAACTAGCTAGATATTTAAAAATAAGTTATTTGCAGGGTTATGGGAAAAAGACATCTGCATTGCCCTGAATGAATTGGTCTTTCAAAGAGCCAGCACAGACATAATGTCCTGAATGTCCTTGGTTCTATCCTTTGAATGAGATATTAACCTGAGGTCCATTGGCTATTTTGATTGTTTAGGTGCAAGTTAAAGATCCGACAACAATATTTCTAAAACAAAAATCAGAAAATTCACTTTTTATCTTGACTAATATTCTTCTAGTCCAAAATGCACCAAAATAAGTGAAGAATTGAACAACTTCAAATTGCATTTATATAGCTCCCTTCACATGGGGTAGCATCCCAGTGCGCTTGACAGTGCTGGAACCTGACCCCGAGCAAGGTGACCATAAGCACGATCAAAAAGGAAGGCAGAATTTGAAAATGGGGAGGGAGGGGGCAGGGTTATTAACTTATTTTTAGATATCTAGCTAGTTCCCTCTTGAAAGCTCATATAAATTCTGCCCTGACCATCATACCTGACAAGGCATTGTCACCTTCTGCAATATAATCTTTGTGGCTGCAGCACTGGAGTATTTGTTGAGAATAGACAAGGTGGAGGGATTGAGGGAGAGAGTTCCAGAGTGTCGGGGCATGGTGCCTGAAGGCACGACCATCGATGGTGAAGTGGAGAGGACGAGGGACAAACTGGAGCCAGCCGAACGGAGGCAGCAGGTGGGGGGTGTAGGTAAGCAAATCAGATAAGTAGGGAGGTGTGAGGGCATGAAGTGATTTGAAAACGAGTGAGAGGATCTTCAAATAGATCCGTTCAGTAATTGGGAGCCAGTGGAGCCTGGCAAGGACTGAAACAGAGTTTTGTGCGAGTGAGAATGCGGGCGGCAGAGTTCTGAATTAGTTGTATTTTGTGTGTTGTGGAGCTGGGGAGACTAGCAAGAAGGGCATTGGAACAGTCCAGCCAGGAAATGATGAAGATGCATCTCAAGACCCTCCTCTTCGACCGTGCTTTCGATCATCCTGCTTCCCCCTCTGCGCTGTCCCCAGCTTTGGTCTGAAACTCTTGACTCTCCAGCACCTTTGGACGTCCTCCCGACATGAAAAGCTCTATACAAATGTTGTTGTTGTTGACGAAGGTGTGGATGAGAGTTCCGGCTGCTTTGGTTGTGATGTACAGAAGGAAGCGGGCAACGTGACGGAGGTGGAAAAAAGCGTTCCTGGTCAGGGAAGGGATGTGGGGTAGAAAGGAAAATTGAGGATTAAACCTGATGCCTAAATTGCGCACGGGTTCAGCGAGTTTGAGAGAGAGCCTGGGGAGGTTGAGGAGTTCAGATCCGCAGGAGAGAAGACCTTGATGGGAGCCAATGGTATGGCTTACGTCTTGCTGACATTCAGCTGCAGGAAATTTGTGCTCATCCATGCCTTGATATCTGCCAAGGAATGTCCGGATTGAAGGAAAACTTAAAGATATATTTGCTTATGGGCTCATTTTGCTGAATTTTGTGAAGTTGATGACATACAAAAAGACAACTTTTGCTAGAATGTAATGCTATGTTGTACGTTAGGTGTATTAAAGAAGACCTCCGAAGACATTGACATGTCTCCTGTAGAGATGAACAAAACCAACATACAAACTGAACAGCTATTGTTTGTCACTGAGGTAATCTGAATTTTCTGTTTGGGTATCTCTACTTGCAGCCAACATGCAGCTGTACTTTGTGTGCTGCATTACTTTATCACTATTTTATAACTTAAAACGTCCAATCTGACTGTCATGAAGACTATTAAAAAATAGTTTTCAATCTCGCTTCCAGCAGGCAATAATTTCAAATGCTGAAAAACTTGTGAAAGCTTGCTTGTGTCCTATAATATAACACAAATGGTACTTTTGCTTGATAGCATACTTATAGAATTGGCCAGCAGCATTGTTATGGCAGCAAATGAATCCCAAGCGTATTGTAAAGCAAATAATATGACTGTTTGATAATCCAATGCCAAAACATTTACTGTTGAATTTGAATTCAAGATCCTCATCCTCACCTACAAGTCCATTCACGGCCTTGCTCCCTCCTACCTCTCTGACCTGCTATCCCCCTACTTACCTGCCCGTACCCTCCGTTCCTCTGGCTCCGGTCTGCTCCACATCCCCCGCCCCAACCGCCCTACCATCGGTGGCCGGGCCTTCAGCCTCTCAGCCCCGAGGCTCTGGAAGTCTATCCCCAGTGCCTTCGCCGCCTCCTCCCTTTCCTCCTTCAAGGCCGGTCTCAAGACCTTTCTCTTTGACCATGCCTTCAGCTCCCCTCTCGACTCTCTACCCCCTCCTCGCTCCCTCCCTCCCTCCCCTCACCCTGACCATTTCCCCCCTGCTCGGGTCCTGACCCTACTGTACAGCGCCTTGGGACGGCCTCCCGACGTGAAAGGCGCTCTATATATGGAATCTTGTTGTTGTTGTTGTCTTTCTCTTGTGTGTAATAAAGTTCAAAGTTATGTAGGTCACTGCTGGCCTTTGTGGGAGCTCTTGGGTTAATGCTGCGTCTCAGCAATTTTCACTGGTGGTATAATATTGGATGGGAAATATTTATAGTTCTGTGAATACTTTTTATGTGCTGCCATTGATGATGTCCACACTTGTGAACAATGTGTTTATACAATCAGTAGGACGTTATTTTCAATGTATCCTGCTTGTCTTTTTCCATTGCTGTTCCACAAAAACTACTTTTAAAAAATCTTTGTAGCAGACACTTACGCATGTATTGCAGAATATAGCTAATTATTTCCAAGCACTGTGCCATATTGCATTTTGGAATTGCATGTCATTATTGTGGATTTACCATTGTGTGCCACTGGGCTGTGCTGATGAAGATAATAAAAATAATAATAATCCTTGCATTTGATATAGCACTTTTCATGTCTTCTGGACGTCTCAAAGGGCTTCACAGAATATATTATAAAGTGAATTGTCTGTACATTTGTGGTCGAAACACGGCAGCCAATTGTGCACAGCAGTGTACCACAAACATTCGTGAATTGAAGTGACCAATTTATTGGGATTATTATCAGGTGTGGAGTAAGGAAACTTGCTCAAGGTTTCGCCCTGCCCGGAATCGAACACCCAGGTCTCTTGCTTGCGAGACGCATCTTCTAACCACTGAACTACAGGACTCCTAAGATTATATTGCAGAAGGTGATAATGTCTTGGTGATGGTCAGGGTAGAGTCCACATTAGCCTTCAAGAGAACTTGCTAGATATCTAAAAAGGAAAGCTGTTCAGAGCTTGTACAAACTCCTGTGTCCTTTGTTACATTTCTAACTTTATTGCCTGCTTATATTGCAGTCAGTATCTCTTGAGTCTGATTGGAGAGATGCTTTTAAGGACTTGGCACCCTCTGCAGCCCACTGTTTAAAGTTGGTAATTGAAGATGCATGTGCAAAGAGCCTGCAGCAAGAAATGAAGCAGTCCATGTCAGGTATATATTTGGTGACAAGCATTCAACCAGCAGACGTGAATTGGGTTCATTGCATGGAAGAGGAGCAATCAAAAAAAGTTGCAAAGGTAAATAAAACATTGACATGGACTCAGGAAAAGAAGTGGTGCACCTAAAGAAGTATTATGTTTATTTTTCTGTTTTCCCCCCTTCTCTACTTTTTATCACAACCTCTCTTCTCTGTTTATTTTTAACCTCCCTTTCATCTGATTTCCCCTCCTGCCCTGGCTTTATAGCTAACTTGGCTTAGAGACGAGTGGATACCACTGTCGTGTTTTTTATTTATTTTGTTTTCCAAGGAACATCAGTCAATGATGGGATAGTATGCATGAATATACAAGCTGGGGATTTGATGGGCTCATCCCAAGCTTTTGATATTATGATCTTTTTTCCAATAAGTATTCTTAAATGTCACCATTTGGTAATCTCAAACATATTCTTGTTATAAAACTGCACACAGCAGCAGAACAATATTTTATGGAAATAGGTTAAATGTAGTCTCCATGAATCACATATTTTTCAAAATAGCTAGTACATTATTTCTATCAGAATCATTTATATTGGAATGAGCCGGACTATCTTTTGACAGACTTCTATATATTATTGAACTATGTCAATTCTTTGAAATGACAATGTGGCCACAAACTACATAAGCTATATAGTGTTTTCAGACCTTGAATAACTTGATGCCACATTTATTCTTTTCCAGTTTTGTTCTGATATCATGGAAGAACTCGACACATTACTTCCACTAGCCCTGGCAAGCAGCGAGAACTTTCTTCAGGAAATTAGAGCAAACTTTGTAGATGGATGTTCTAAAGTAGCTGCAGCTATCCTGTCCAGGCTAGAGGAGAGAAGTAAAGAGGTGCCCTCCAAGGCACCAGTGCAAAACTTGTACATTATCCTCTCCTCAGCAATGTTCATCCATAGGCAGTTAAATCATTATGAGAATTTGCTGAAAGAGTCGAGCAAGAAGTAAGTATTTGCAAATTATAACTTCACTCCACCATTTAACTTGCAAATAACTCAAACCACAGAATAAATATTATGCTTATCAACTCCAACAAGATTACATTTGTATAGCGCCTTTCATGTTGGGAGGACGTCCCAAAGCGCTTATGTGGTTTTCTGACCTTCAGGTTTGCTTATAAAATAAAAGGCAAATTTTAAGTTTCTGTGTACAATAATTAATATTATGCTGTTGAATAGCAATACCTGTATAAATGCTATTTGACACTGATATTCTGAAAGGGGATTGTGTATTTTTCAAAAAACAGATGTATGTTTCAAAGACTTCAAATCAAAGAACATATTATAAAAAGTGTTTGAGTGCTAACTTCAGCTCAGGCTCAGGATATAGAGGAAATGAATGATTGATACTAAATAATCAGAACCATTTGTAGTGCTGAAGATTATTGGCTTTTAATGCTAAGGCTTTAAATCTCTGTCTCTTTGATCATTTTCTCTGAGTAGGCCATTGTTCCTCCTGCCAATTCAACGATATCAGGAATTCATCACAGTTGTCCAGTTTCAAGTTACAGATTACTGCGTAAGAATTTGCGCTACAAGCATTCTCCAGGATGCAGAAAGCCACCATTGGGGTGACTCAAAACCTTTTTATGAGGTAGGAATCAGTTCAGTTGGTTTCCCTTGTATTTTTTGGGGGAATTTGTTACAGTTGTATTGTGTTGCTATCTCGAGTCACGGGTAATAATAAATAATAATCCTTGCATTTGATATAGTGCCTTATCACGTCATCGAGCCATCTCAAAGCACTTCACAGAATATATTGTAAATTAGAGTAACTGTATTTTGTGGACAAAATGCACAATATTAATTAAAAATTTATTAAAAAGTAAGACAAAAAGTAAAAGTAAGTAATATTACTTGTGCATAGGGGCTTCCACTTATTTCAACATATTTAATGCCGAATACTAGATGGTAAACAAATAGTTTCTAAAGAAAATCTAAAGTGGTAATTAATATGGATTGTTACAGAGAAGGTTGTTAACAGGCTCACTGTTTATCTTACCAGTGAAAAACCATTACTGCAGCTATAATACTTCTTTTGACGAAAGAACATCATCCTGTAACTGCGGCTTTCTTTGTCCAGAGAGGAACCTTATGCTTTTAATCAATTTTGGGATGTGACTAGCCTCTAACTGATGTATTACCCTAAACTAATTGGAAAACTAATTGAATCAATCATTAGAAACAGAATCAGAAACAGACAAGATCTACCCTTCTTTTATTAGCCCATTTCCATACAGTTAATAAAGATTAATAATGGGCTAAAAAAAGAAGGGTAGATCTTGTCTGACCATTCCTATAGATGTTTTTAAGAGGTGACATTCCATTTTGGCAGTGGGAAGCCATTTGGCATTATGTACCTAGACTTCCAAAATACTTCATAAAGTACTACACAAGAAATTTCTTCACAACTGATGTCAAGGGTAAACTGTATACATGGATTGGTAACTGCTTAATGAGAAGTAACCAGGAAGCAGTCTCAAGCTTTAAATTTAGACCAGCGAGAGACTTCTAGGCACTAAAAAATTGTATTTCATAACAATTCTCTGGTCTCACGTCTTGTAGACGTCTCAAAGCGCTTCACAGAATATACTGTACAGCGAATTGACTTTGTGGGTGAAATGCAGCAGCCAATTGCAGTGTCCCACAAACGGTCGTGGATTGAGTGACCAATTTATTATTGTTTTATTTTCTTGAGGGATTATTACCAGGTGTGTGGAGTAAGGAAACTTGTCCAAGGTTCCACCCTGCCGGGCAAAGAATCCAGGTCTCTCTTGCGAGGCGAGTGCTTTAACCAATGAGCTTCAGTCACCCTCGCCTGACTCCACTGGCTCCCCATCCCTCAGAGGATCGAATTCAAGATCCTCATCCTCACTTTCAAGGCCATCCATTGCCTTGCCCCCTCCTACCTCTCTGACCTGCTGACTCCCTACCAACCTGCCCGCTCCCTCCGTTCAGCGGGCTCCGGCCTGCTCCATGTCTCCCGCTCAACCCTCCCTATCATCGGTGGCTGGGCGTTTAGCTCTCCGGCGCCCCACTCTGGAACTCCATCCCACAGTCCCTCACTTCGCTTCCTCCCTTGCCTCCTGCAAGGCCAGTCTCAAGACCCTCCTCCTCTTCAATCGTGCCTTCAGTTCGCCTTTCCACCTCTTTGCCTTCCTTCACCCCTACCTCACCCCTGCCCCATGCTCGGGTCCTGACCCGACTGTCCAGTGCCTTGGGACGTCCTCCCAACGTGAAAGGTGCTCTATAAATATAAATTTGTTATTGTTGAACTACAAGACTCCAAAACAACATATAAACAACATGGCTGATACTTCATGTTAAAGGCATGAAGTATGAAGAACAACTGGATAAACTGGGCTTCACACTTGAAAAGAGATATCTCAGAGGGGACCTAATAGGTATATAAATTGTTTAATGAACAAATAATATAATAATTTCAGATATGCCAAGGCAGTAGGACAAGCTAGACACAGGTTCAAGGCTGTGAAGGACACTTTTAGGGAAAAAAAAGGAACCATTTCTTTACATGGATATGCATCAAAAATTGAAATGGGTTACCAGAAAGGGTGGACAAGCCAGAATACTGGGCTCTTTTCAAAAAGCTCCTTGCAAATGTAATGGAGTTTATTTTCTGAAAGGATGAGATTAAATGGGCCCAAGGGCCTTCTTCCTCCAAACCTCTTTTGTGACATTATCTCCACTTTACTATCAGCGACATTAGTCATCAGAGGTAAAATGTGTGTTGGGACCAGTAGTACCACTGATCCAATCCCCTCCCCATCTCCAAGTACTGCTGTTAACTACAGACAAAAATATTCGCCTTTTAGCCTGAACTTCGATAATCATTTCAGTTCTAAAATAAGGTTACGCACAATTGTCCTTTGTGGCCTATTATTCAAAAAATACAGTATATCAGGTGCCTCTAGGTTGTTTTATTACTACTTTCAAATGCATTTTGTGTAGCTTTTGTAGGCTTTATTAGTGTGATATTTAATGTGATTTCCATGCAGGCATTCCTAATAGAGATTTAGATCAGAACAAACATGTATCAATATAGTTATAATTTACTGGAATATTGTTTAAGCCTCAAGCCCAAGGCAATTGAGAGTATTTGAATCACTAGGACGTATTTGTTACACTCAAAATAAAGTTCAATTTACTTTAGAGCTGACTGCAAAGATGTAATATTAAAGATTAAACAAACAGTGTTTCCAGTTTGAATTTTTAAGCACTCAATTCATTTAGTTCAGCTGTAGCTGTAATTTTTATGTACAATATAGGATTTGGCACAAGGCCCACAGTAATCACTTGAGACTCAATCTTCTAGCTTCTTCCCACTTAAGAACATAAGAAATGCTAGACAAAAAAAGACCAAGGTCCATCCAGTTCGCCTTCTACCTTCCTGGCGGTCGAATGCACATAAGTCCCAAACTACCTATGAACTATATCCCATAAAGTTATTTTCTAAAAGTATTGAATTGCAAGCTACGAGATTTTACTTGTGCAAAATCCAGCAATATCCGAAGATATACTCTGAGGTCCCCAAGGCTTGGCTCTCATGAACGTGTGCCTAATACTTATCAGAATTAAATAAGCAAGCTGCATCCTTCTTGGGAGAAAGTGTGCACTCCATTCCAGACAGAGGGAAATTTCTGTGCATAGGCAGCATGCATATGTAGAAATCTCAGTCTGGTTGGGATACTTAAGTATAGTAACAAGTTTCCGCGGGCGTCAGACACCAGCCTAACCAAAACAAATACTCAAAACTGCTTCTAAGACCTGGTCACCCCTCTTTTGCTCTTATGACAGAACTGTTCACATTTCTCAAGCAAGTGTGGGCTGAACAAAGAACTGTACAGCTTGAGCATATCTTCTGGGGATCTGAATTTATTTGGCAATAGAACGTTTGTCTTATTTCTTGCTGTTTCACATTGTTTGGACGTGGCGAGCAATGTGAGTTAACTAACGCACTGAGGTCTCTTTCAATGTCCCTGCCCACTTTGCTTTTATGAATGATCCCAAATTTTTTTTTAGAATGATTTACTCTCATTATATTTTATACAAATGGTGTTGGGGAAAATGCTGGTATAATTAAGTTCATCAGAGAAATTATGAGTTGATTTATTTGACAACATAAATGTAAACTGTCATTAAATATTATTGATAAGTTGTGTTTTTTTAATATGCTATGCTAATTGATGGTTTTGATTTTTAAAAAATTGATCTGGTCATTCAGTCTAAATAAATTAAAATCAAAGCAAAAAAATTAAAACTAAATTAAAATTAGTTTTATTAATCTATCTCTAAGTTTGTCTGTCACATTGGAAACAAAATTATGTTGATAAAAAGTAAAGCTAGATCAATAGTCTTGGAGATTAATAAAATTGAGTAAGGTTTTGCAAGTTATAGGACATCTTAGACTTGCTTTTTTTTACTTTTGGAATTGGAATATTAAAGTAGTTTAACTTCTAAGCCATTTTCTCATCTGAGAAACTGCTTGATGCTGTCATAAAAAGACACTTGTGTAAGTAATCTGATAATCAACTGGGCCAAAGAGCATCATTTGTTCCTAATCTTTTCTACATTTCGAAGAAGGAACTTTAATTTATCCCACAGGATATTAACTGAAGTAACAGATTTTCTAAAGTGTTTGGTGCCAAAGGATTAATTATTTCAAGAAGTGTATTCTTTTATTTTATGATTGCAGATTTTAATTGACTTCTCTGAAAGAAGTCCAGTAGGTATTTGACAATATTTTCATGGGAAATCAAATTAACCATGTATATATTCAAAATGTGCTAAATGTAGCACAAAATTCAACGTAACCCAAAATAACGCATTTTAAGGTACACATCCGTGACAGTTTTTCAGTAGTTTTCTTCAATTTGATCAATTCTCAAAGCTTATATGATTATTATATTGTTATGATTATTATATTATTATATGGTTATATTGTTATTATTATATTATTATATTAGTTATATGATAATCATATTGAACTCGATCTCTGCAATTGTAAATCTTACAAAAATACAAAAAATCAAATGTTTTTGCAGGTTACATATACTTTGGATAGGATATAATACAGAAAATAAATTTTAACCAGCCATAGTTTACTTTCAAACTTTGAAATTTGATTGGAAAGTTTCATGCCAGTTCTCTATTACAATCTTTTATGTATGTGATGATTTCATCAAATTAATGTTGAACAACCAATGCCTGCACCATAAATTCACCTGTTAGTTGCGAAACATAATGCTTTTCTTGGTGTTTTTACAATTTACTTTTTGATTCATAATAATTTATACATTCGACTAGTAAATCCTGTACTAGGAAGCTCATAATTTACACATTTAAACAAAAATGCATCATCAGCTTGCTTTCATTGATTTCCCAAATTCATTTCTGGTATTTATAAATGAAGAAGATAAACCTTTTGTGAATGTTGCTATGCATTACATCTTATCAATGTTATCGGATGCTGTATCAGCTACAATGTATTATCAGTTTAGATTGAATTAACTACTTTTTGGAGAAGCTATTATCTTACTGTCTGCTATTTATTCAATTGTTAATTTAACAGGGGGAGAGGTGCTCTTTTTCCATCCAAATGTGGCATTATTACTGCAGTGCTCTCCGATATGATCTGTATAACGTGTTGCCCTCCACATTAGCACAGGAGCTCCTAGCTGAAGTGTTGAGTGAATGCTTAGCTATTCTGGCATGCAGATATTCTCAGTCTTGTCCTACGTATAACAGAACTTCACAGATAAGGTAAGCTATAATCAAATATCATAAGCAAAGAATTTGCATAAAGTAAATTTAAGATGTATTTGGTCAGCTTCCACATTCTATTGGGTTTTTAATTTCAAAATAATTTTCACTTCAAAGTACTAGATTTCCTCTCGCAAGAAACCACCAGTTTCTTGATACACTTTTTGTTTCTTGCAAAGTAATTTCTATCAGCCCCATTATAGCAGCATCAGTATGTGTTTGAAAACTATTAGTTTGATGCACAGTAGCATTTTTATTCATTTGCCAAAAAATATCTTGAAATCTTATAAAATATGTGTTTTAAAGCAACTTTTAAAGTATATCCTATTATTAAACTATTTTACAACTATATAAAATTCTGAATACTATTAGAATTAAATAAATGTAAATTGTCAGTTTGTTTATTTGCAATATTTTCTGAATGCAATTTATACAATCCTTCTGTTCACCTTCCATACCGTTCCAAGGTTTAGGGTCAAAACATCTAATTTCAGATGAAGCAGTCATTCCTTTTTTTAACTGCATCTGGCATTTCAAGGTCTTTGTTATGTACATCCAGTAAAAAGTGACTGGTAGTCATTTTGAATGCATAAAATATAAGTTAGTTGATATTGTTTAACAAATAAAGCAAAATTTGAGACGTTTCTTTAAAATTACTAATTCTCTAAATGTACTAATATTCTCCATATATTTGCTCAATGTACAAATAACATAGCAGAAGGATGTTGAAGCAGTTTAATATGTTATTTAATATGTATACTTTGTTCAACAGAATAGATATTACTGCGATACTTCTGTGTACCGAGAATCTGTTATGGTCAGTTTGCCATTCAGACAAAGCACTGCTTCAGCCTGAAGAGGGCATCTCTCGGTGGATCTTCACAATTCACAGCTATTGCAACACCCTTCTTTCAATTCTTGCTATTTTAACATCGCCACTTGAGAAACTTTACGAGTAAGTGAATTAAAACGCATTCATGAGTAATTCCATTTCTTGAAATCCAACTGATAATTTCTGATTAAATTTTGTCATAATTTTCAGCTTTAAAATGAACGATGTGGTCACTTTGATTGTGTATTGTAACATGGCGTCGTAGGATAGTGGATACAAATGTGATACATGGATACAGTGAATTTTTAATCTCATTTCGGAAGCAACAACAAGAACAACAAATTACATTTGTATAGCCCCTTTCACGTTGGGAGGACGTCCCAAGGCGCTGGATAGTCAGGGATTTGGACCTGAGCTAGGGGTTGGAATCAGGAGTGGTGGAGGACAGGGAGGGTCGGGTTCCGAGGGTGGTCGAAGGCTCGGTTGAAGAGAAGGGTCTTGAGACCTGCCTTGAAGGAGGCAAGGGAGGCAGCAAGGCAAAGGGCCTGGGATTGAGTTCCAAAATGTGGGGGCAGAGAGGCTGAAGGCCTGACCGCCGATGGTGGGGGCGAGCCTGGCAGGGGAAGTGGAGCAGGCCAATCAAAGATTGAAATCCTGTAGCTTAGTGGTTAGAGCACTCACCTCTCAAGCGACAAGATGTGAATTTGATTCCTGGGCAGGGCAAAACATTGGGCAAGTTTCTTTACTCCATACCTATGTTCCCTCTAATTTTTTTTCGGCCATGTGTAGAATGAACTTGGGTTTGTGCACCGATATAAAGGGAGGAGGTGAGGAATAGAAATGACAAAAGAAAAACAGCAAGCAGTATTCACGTCATGCAAGTGGATTTGGCCATTGGTCCAGGTGGGAGATTTTGAAATGGAGTCTCAACGCCTGGAATCTTCTTGCCTCTTAACACCGAACCACACCGGTCACTGCCTCGCCTGATCACCCGTGGTCTCAGCCCCTCGATGGTCGTTGCCTGTTGGCTCACCAGGAGGCCTACTCTCTGGCCACTCTAACCTCCTTCGTGTCTTCAGGCTCAGGGCAAGATTGATCTCGTCCGCCGGCTTTGAATCGGCTCCTGTAAGCGCTCTCTCCGATTTGCTCCTCTTCATCAACGCCTCCTGTTTCCCATAGCAGTCGACTGCTCGCGTCTGCCAGAATGATTAAGTGCGCGGCACACACAGACTGCTGTGTGGCTGTGCACGCACGCAGCTTAGAGGGAACAGTGCTCCACACGCCTCTGTTCACCTAGCGGTAAATGGGAACCTGATTGTTAGGCGATTGGCAGATCGCTTTTCACAATTTTATTAAAAAATTTCAGGAATTTCTCGAAATCCCTGGTTTCACAACTTTAAACGTATAAAGTAAAATCCTAGGGCATGAGTTTTGATGTGGGGGATATCACTGATCATTATCCACCAATCAAAGAATGTTCCTCATATTCTGTGTCTGTGCCTCACACCTCCCATCCAATTATCTCTTTATGTCACCAGGTTGCTACAGTTCCATGTGCCTTAATCTTAGCTAGTAATCTGTTGCAGGAGTCCTATGAAATAGCATGTTAATTGTTTCTATCAGATTCCCTTACCGAGCTGACGAGCGCTATGGGAACCAATGTTGGCATTTACTAAAGGTATTGGTGTCATTGATATACTACAAAATTGTTTTGATGATCAGAGCTTTTAATTGTGATTTTAACAGGCTGTATCAAAATGGTTTCCCTGAATGTATCTCGTCATTACCATCAGAATCAGACAACAGATGCTTGCTACAATGGTTACGTATAATGCAGTCCTATCTTTTCTCTAACGCATCACTAAGGTAAATATATACTTTCCAGATGCTACGTGAAAGGACAATGAGATTAAATTGTCTTGGTCTATGCTTCATTAAGCTTTTCAGTTAACATTATTATTTTATTCTGAAATTATATAAAGGATAATGAAAACCTGGTAATGAATTGTAATACAACAACAACAACAAGATTCCATTTATAGAACGCCTTTCACGTCAGGAGGACGTCCCAAGGCGCTGTACAGTAGGGTCAGGACCCGAGCAGGGGGAAATGGTCAGGGTGAGGGGAGGGAAGGGAGGGAGCGAGGAGGGGGTAGAGAGTCGAGAGGGGAGCTGAAGGCACGGACAAAGAGAAAGGTCTTGAGACCGGCCTTGAAGGAGGAAAGGGAGGAGGCGGCGAAGGCACTGGGGGATAGTGTTCCAGAGCCTAGGGGCTGAGAGGCTGAATGCCCGGCCACCGATGGTAGGGCGGTTGGGGCGGGGGATGTGGAGCAGACCGGAGCCAGAGGAACGGAGGGTACGGGCAGGTAGGTAGGGGGATAGTAGGTCAGAGAGGTAGGAGGGAGTAGGGCCGTGAAATACATTGAAATTCAGAAGGAAGTAAGCTGCAAAATGCAACCACATAGTCTATCTAACAAGAGCAGTTTGTCATTGTCTTCTAAATCTGCCCATGAATAACATTTTAGAATGTATATTCTTACAATTTTTGTGAAAGGCTTTGTTTCGCTACATGCAGTGTGACATTCACTTTGGAATATTGTATCATTTTGCAGACAATTAGATTTTTATATATTCAGTATAAATTAACATTTATGTTGCATCTTTCACATTGGGAGGACTTCTCAAGGCACTTGACAGTCCTGGCCTGGCACTCAAGCTGAGGTGAAACCGAAGGGTAGGGGAGGGGAAAGATGGCCGAAAGCACAGTCGAATAGGAAGGTCTTCAGATGAACCTTGAAAGAGGTCAAAGATGGTGTGAGTCAGAGGGACTCCAGGATGGAGTTACAGAAAGCGGGGGCAAATAGGCTGAAAGCCATTCTGTCTATAGTGGGCCAGTAAGAGGGGACACGAAGCAGGCCAGTGCCTGCTAAGTGAAGGCAGCAGCTTGGTTGATATGGTTTGAGGAGGTCACAGAGGTAGGGTGGGGCAAGGCAGTTGAGGGATTCGCAAGTGAGGAAGAAGATCTTGAAATCGATCAGCTGGAGTATGGAGAGCAAATGGAGCTGGGAAAGGATGGGGGTGATAGGTTTGTAAAGCCTAGGACAGCAAAGGACACAGACTGCAGGGTTCCATATTCTGCATCTTATGTAGGGAAAAATTGGGTCGTCCAGCAGAGAATTGGCATAGTCGAGCGTTGAAATGCATGGATTAGAGTCTCAGTGACCTGAGGGGAGAGGCAGTGGGGGAGGTGGAGTTCTGTATCTTAGTTGCTAGAGCACTCACCTTACAAGCAAGAGGTCGTGGTTTCGATTCTCGCGGGGCAGGGCGAAATGTTGGGCAAGATTCCTTAATCCATACACCTCTGTTTACCTAGGAGTAAGTAAGAACCGGTTATTAGTCGATTGACGGATCACTTTTCCGGGGGTGATAATCTCTTTAATAAAATGCGGTCACTCAGTCCATGAAAGTGTGTGGGATATTGCTGTGCACAATTGGCTGCCGCTGTTCGCAAAATATACAGTCAATTCACTTACAGTATATATCGAAGACGTGATAAGACGCTATATCAAATGCAAGGATGATTATTATGTTACAGAGGTGAGGGAAAGCTGAGTAGGTCAGAGCACAGATGCGAGGTTTGAAGGACAGTTGGGAGTCGAACAAGATAACAAGATCCGGCTCCTTGGTTTGGTTCTAAGTTATTTGTAAAGTTCAGTTATGAATACTTTTTCTACATGTCAGAAAATACTTGTTCTTTCTGTCTCTTCATCATCATGACCCATGGGTGGCACATTTCTGTGACTGAAAGTTGACTCTGAAAAGAGACCATCTTTTAAACTAACAGCCTTGTATTGTATGAACAGATTTGTTTTTCTCAAAGATCTCTTGAACATAATTTTTAAAAGTCTAACGAAATACATCCATGTATGTTTTTTTTAACTGAAATTTGAACTGGTATTTTGAAAGGTCACTGTAAAAGTCAAGTCACATATTGACACCAAAACTATATACCAATGATTCCCCCAATGGCCCATTTCAAGAGTTGTAGTTGAAATAATGAAAAGTCTTTTGATTGATTTTTAATGGAAAATGCTCGTCAAAGAACTGTGGTAATCTGAAAAATCATAGGAGCTTCAATTTCTTCTGTCTTTATTTATTATAAAATCTTTCCCCCCTCCGCAATTACCTATCACTTGAAGCAAAATGAACAGAGTGGAGATCACAAATCATTGTATTTAGGCAACTATTTATATAGGGTATAAGCAACATTTCAGTTATATCTAAGAGTCCCCTCCATTTTGGTAAAGTTGAAAAAAATGAGAGTATTTCAGAGTTAATTGAGCAGAATTGGCATTTAAGTTTAGTATTACACTTATATGACACTTATTTTTATATAAGAAGTAAACAATAATTTTTTCAATGTGTTTCAGCCCTTTGTCATCTGATAAAATAGCAGTCCAGCGACATCTTAAATTGCTGTTATCACAGCCCAGCTACAACTGGAACTTACTACTGCAGATGCTTGTTCTTCAGGATTGTCTGATACCTCGAATTTTATTGAGTGATATATGTAAGTACAAAAGTTTAAAAAATATGCTTCAGATCATCAAGTAGCAGACTGCTAAACCAATCAGGGCATGCGATGAGACTTAGGCAGCTCAACAAGCCACTTAGCCATAGCAATCACTTTAGGGGGAATGGCCACAACGTGCAGACCCAGGAATGCCCACTTTATGATATTATGACATGCGCAGTTGAGGGTGACCTCTTGCTCTCAGTCCTCATTCATTACGCTACATCATGCAACCCTTCCCAACCTCCAACAAAGCATGAGATTTTATAAGCCCCCTCTTTCTAGAACTCCAACTTGGAGTCCCTCCGACTCGCACCATTTTGACCTCTTTCACGGTCCATCTGAAACCTAAATAAATTGAAAGAAAATATGAAAAACAGGACAGAAATTGGAAAAAAAGCACGATTGGAATTTGTAAAACTTTTAAAATTCAGTTTAACTGAATTAGATAGCCACAAAAATATATCTCTGTGACTGTCTGGACCAATAAGTTTGATGTCAGGATGAGTAAACTTTAGTCCATATTGCCCCTGGATCAGTTACTTACAAAAATCTATTTTGATGTCTGCATAACGTATAGAAAGCATTTATTCAACAACAACAACAAAATTGCATTTATAGAGCGCCTTTCTCGTCGAGAGGACGTCCTAAGGAGCTAGACAGTCAGGGGTCAGGACCCGAGCATGGGGGGAAGGGTGGGGTAGGGATGAGGGAAGGCAGAGAGGTGGGAGGGCGATTGAAGGCACGATCAAAGAGGAGGGTCTTGAGACCATTCTTGCAGGAGGCAAGGGAGGAAGCGAGGCGAAGGGACTGGGATGGAGTTCCAGAGTATAGGGGCAGAGAGGCTAAAGACCCGGCCACCAATGGTAGAGTGGGTCAGGTGGGAGACGTGGAGCAGGCCGGAGCCCGCTGAACGGAGGGAGCGGGCAGGTTTGGTAAGGAGCCAGCAGGTCAGAGAGGTGGGAGGGGGCAAGGCCATGATAAATGGCCGAGAAAGTGAGGACGAGGATCTTGAAATCGATCCTCTGAGGGATGGGGAGCCAGTGGAGTCAGGTGAGGGTGGGAGTGATGGGGTCACGGAGCCTGGTGCGCGAGAGTACACGAGCATTTATTCAGTAGATTTTCATAATTTTCTGGTCCTACAACATTTGTCTTCTATTTCAAACTCTCTTTATATTTTCTTTTCTTATTGTTTTCCACTCTCCAATTTTCTCTTCTGAAAATGATGACACATGCTGGATGTTGGTAGCCCTTTGTTTTCTCACCCATATGTGAGCCTGGACAGCAAATTCGGTAATCGGGAAATTTTCTCAGTGCCCTCGTGAATCATTTCTCTTTTTTGGCCTTCTTGTTCTGTTGCTAGAACTAGCAATTTGGAACAAGTTGCCAGTGCTGTGCTGAACAGTTTAAATCATCAGCTAAGTGGGTTCTTTTCTTGTGTGTTTTTTCTAAAATAAAAAAAAGTTTGTTTAGATGGGTGGGGGAGGAAGAAAGCGAAGAACGTAGGGGGATGGAAGATGTGATAAAAGGAGGGTGCAGAGGAGATTTATTAGAATGGTACCAGGGATGAGGGACTTCAGTTATGTGGAGGGACTAGAGAAACTGGTATTTTTCTCCTTAGGCAGAGAAAGTTAAGGGGAGATTTAATAGTGGTGTTCAAAATTCTGAGGGGTTTTGTTAGAGTAGTAGGGAGAAACTGCTTCCACTGGCAGGTTGGTTGGTAGCTAGGGGACATAGATTTAAGATAATTGGCAAAAGAACCAGAGGGGAGATGAAGAGAATTTTTTTACACAAGAGTTGATGAGGTTTGCAATGCACTGCCTGAAAAGGTGGTGGAAACAGATTCATTAACAACTTTCAAAAGGGAATCGGATAGGTACTTGAAAAGGAAAAATTTGCAAGGGTATGGGGAAAGTGTGGGGGAATGGAACTGATTGGGTAGCTTTTCCAAAGAGCCAGCACAGACACGATAGACCGAATGGACCTCTATATTCTATGATTCTATGATTCTAAACAGCCCAAAAAGAACAGCAGTTGCAACAATAAATCAGATGGTCATTCAGAGCTCACAAGTGTAGCAATAGCATTGCTGGGTGGCTAGAGCCTTGTCTGATGTTTTGACCTAATTATAACAGACCCAATGCCTGTCCAGCTAAATCAGCACGGACATGGGATTGAGACCTTTTCGATCTGTTTGACTAACTTCAGACAAGACAGTCACTTTAGTAATTGAGCCACGAAGAAAACCTCGTAGAATTTCATGGTTTTTTATGACCTTATCCAAGCCTACTGTTAATGACATTCTGCATTGGGCTGCATTATCTTCCATATAAGATTCCACAAACCCATTACCCATGCTTGCCAGCCTTCACTGCCCCCCAACAGATCAACTCTTAAGATGCTCATCCTTACTTTCAAATGACTCCATGGCCTTGACCCACCAAACTTCTGTGATCTGAGGCCCTACTTCCTCCACCCATTCCCTTCACTCTTCCAATTCTGACTTGCTTTATGTTTCCCAACCCTTTTACCTCACCATCAGTGGGCAAGCTTTTAGTCATTTTTCCCCCTCTCTCTGTAATTCTCCAAAGAAATCCCTCTGCCTAGCTTGATTGCTCCTTCACTTTGAGGATCTGTCTAAAAGTCTATCTCTTTGATCGTGCCTTCTGCCACCTACCCTCCAGCCCTTTATCTCCCATCCAGCTTGGGCTCCCACTCCATTTTATAAAGCGCTTTGATGCAGTCTCCTGCATGAATAGTGCTATATAAATGTAATTAATTGTTGAAATTCAGTGGAGACTCAAAACTTTTCCTCATGCTATTCTTTTTTGTAAACAATGTTTAGCAAAAAAATTCAATTTAAAATGCATTTGTGGTGATGCTTTAAAAGAAAATTTTCTTTGTCAGATTTTCGATTATATTTACTATATGTTCCTTGACCTGTGAAATGCTGGGCTTTGCCTATTTAACTTTTGTGGATCTGCAGCCCTTAGATTTAATTTATGCAATGCTCATAATTACTGCAGACTCATGATATTTCTTTGTAACTGTTCAGGTGAACAATACAACATTACATTTGTATAGCACTGTTCACATCATGAGGAGTCCTGAGGCGCTGGACAGTTAGGGATTTGGAACCGAGCAGTGGGGTGGGGTGGGTGGGGAGTTGGGGAAAGGGGGGTGGAGGGGAGGTTAGGAGGGTCTAATGCCAAAGGGGGTTGGGTACATATATCAAGTTCTGTCAAGTCTAAACATTTCTCTGCATATGTGTGATGCAGAGTAAATGTGAAGACAATATTGTTTTCAATAGAATCTTTCAATCCTGTGACTTCCAGCTGTGATAACAGTAGGTTTGTATTCATGGTAATCCAATACATCACATGCGTCCTTTTGTGAATCTAATGGATAAGAACAGCGAAGTTACGCTTTTGAAAGACAAAATGATAGTTAATCTTTTTACCTCCCATTTTCTTTCCTCGCCTACAAATCTTAACATGCAGCTTTCAGTCATCAGCTTCTTCTGTAGACCTTTCAATTGCTGTTTCTCTATTATTGTTCTATTTTTGGATACCAGTTGAATGAGTAAGGAATAGAAAATGGTATTGAACAATCTTCATATTGTTGGCCACTCTTAAGAAAGAAAATTCCCAATAATACCATAAACACTAGGTATGGAATATTAAACACAGTGCTGTTATTGTTTTCCAGTCAAATTGGAGTCATTTATCTGCTGTTTTCCATCAGTTGGTTTTGATATTCTTTGTGTTAGAAATATTTTCACTAGTGTAACAGTTCTGCAATGTCTCAGTCATTTGCTGAGAAGGGAAATAAAACCTTCCTACATGGGTTGCAGTGGTCATAAACGTTTTTCAGAAGCTGTTTCAAATTTCCAAGCAAGCACATTAATTGGTGTCTGTATCCGATTCAGAAAATCTACGTAGAGTTTTCCTGAAAGAAATTGTCCACACAGTTGTCTTTGAGCACAATTCAGAGTTCATGGAATGTAGAATTCACAAAACCGTGCATGATCGTAGGAGTCTCGTAGCGTAGTGGTTGGCTCTCTCACCCCCAAGCGAGAGGACCCGGGTTCGATCACTGGGCGGGCAAAACCTTAGGGATGTTTCCTTGCTCCAAATGCCTATTTACCAAGCAGTAAGTCGTTACCCGGTTGTTCATCGATTGGCTCCAGGTTTGCATGAATGTTTTTTTTGCTGAAAAGCATGGAACAGATAATAAGAATCTTACTATTTTATTAAATAATATTCTCTTATCTGTGAATGGTACAAATGGCCATACGTATCACACATTTTGCAATACTATCCACATATAGACAGGGTTTTATGACTCTTAAAATAAAATTAAACTGGCATTTTGGAGACATTGGTATTTTGCACATATTTCCTTGTGGCAGGCCATCATGTTTCAGTTACTCCAGTGGTTGAGAGATTTAAATCCTAGAAACGAATATTTGCATTCTTTGATTGATGATGAATGTAATGGTTTAAGGGTTAAAAGGGTAGCAAATACCAGACTTTATCCAAGGGAACAAAGTGTGTGGAATGATTTAAGGTCATTGGGATTATTGCCATTGTCTGCAATGAACAAGCAATTTTTTATACTTGTAGAATAATTTGCAGTTACGTATCAAACAGACAATATCAGATCTGCATCCTGTAATAGGATTCTTAATTTAGTATTTTCAGTTTAAGCTAGTCAGACATTTGTCAAGGAAGTACAAATAAGGCTTCAGTTCCATCATGTTCTTTACTGAGTAGCAGTATTGCATTTACTTACTTATTCAAATAACTGTCATCTCTCACAAAGACTGACAAATGCTAAATCATAGTCCCTCTCATACTTCTGTATTGCATTACATCTTTCTGCATGCTACTGTTGGCTCAAGGACATTCTGACGGGAGTTATTAATCTATTTAGTGACCAATCTTTGCTCATGGGGGAAACCATTTCTGCAATAAATGGCAGCATGATCATCACATAATATAACAATAATTACTGAAAATGGGCTAAGCACAATTCTACAAGTGTGGATTTTCATCTCTTAAATCGCTAAGACAGTTTACAGTGTACTTTAGTAGTGAGACACAATTCACCAACTCACGGGAAGTGGAAAGTATTGGTTATTTTCTTTAATAACAAAAATAGTTACTGAAATGAAAATGTTGGTATTTCCCAGAATTTTATTGATCAAGTGTGGAAAACAAGTATTGTACGTTAGCATATTTTAACATCTCGTGATGTGGCTCTGCTAACACATTGGAGAGTTCAGGGTCACAAGTCACCAGTTGTGGAAAAGTGACAAACACTGTATTTGTCTGCTACCCCTTGTTAAGCTGATGGATGTTTTGCTACAATAACGTAGACATCAAATACATTTATTGATAAGGCACATGAGGTTTTATCTATTATTTGAAGGTGATACCTCATCTTCTAAGAGATCACTTCCCTATCCACTGCCCGTTTTATTATAAGAAAATTGTATCTACAAAGGGATAATTGTATGATGTAATGCACACTTAATTCCTTTTTAATTTTGTTTCTGAACAGAACCAAACACCCTCTGTCATTCTACTATTCTAGTAAAAAATCACAACTTCTTGCTTGTCGGCTTCCACAGGCTGCAGATCATCCAGAACTCTGCAGTCCGTGTCCTCTCCCGCACCAGGCTCCATGACCCTATCATCCCCATTCTTGCCCGACTCCACTGGCTTCCCATCACATAGAGGATACAGTTCAAGATCCTGGTCCTCACCTTCAAAGCCCTCCATGGTATTGCTCCCCCCTACCTCTGTGATCTCCTAAACCCTACCATCCTGCCTGCTCCCTCCGCTCAGTGGGCTCTGGCCTGCTTCATGTCCCCCGCCTCAGGCCTTTGCCACTCTGCCCCCACCCTCTGGAACTCCATCCCACAGTCTCTCCGCCTTGCCCCCTCCCTTGCCTCCTTCAAGACCCATCTCAAGACTCTTCTCTTCGACTGCGCTTTCGATCACCCTGCTTCCTCCCCTTGCCCTCCACCCTTCCCAATCCCGACCCCCAGCTCGGGTCCGAAACTGACTGCCTTGGGATGTCCTCCCGATGTGAAAGGTGCTCTATAAATGTAATTTTGTTGTTGTAGCTTGCTTTTTTTATAACAGCATAGTTGTATCTATGATTCTGTCACACAGTAAGTACAACGAGCAAACATCCACAGTACATTTATTACATAACGTTGCTGAATTTCTTCTCAATATTGAACCTGTCTAATTACTTTCAAAATCTTTCATAGTTCCTTGTTTCAACATCTTTGCTGGTAGTTTGCTTATTGCAAGTTACAACAAATATTTCTTCAGTGTCTCCTATTTACTTTGGTTGTCTGAAAAAGATCAATTTTCTACTTTTGATAAAAAAAGTTTAATAAAATAAATACACTAAAATATACAGCATCTGAAGAAAAATACCATTTCTGAAGATCATTTTGCTCATGGGGCTTTTTATGGACTTAATTATTGTGGGATTTTTGCAATCCAGTATTCATGAACTGAATCACAGTTAATGCCACTGCTCCAGTTTGCAAATTAGACCCCTTTTTGGAGCATAGTGGATGGAGTTTTATTCAGTATTAAATTAGATCACATGAACCAATGATGTCAGAAATTGTAGAAGGGTAACATAGCAAGTTAGCAAGATAGCAAGATAGGTAATCTTGCTAACTAGTTAATTTATTGGAACTAGACTTATAGCTTTTGATTTATGGACTTAACAAAGAAAAGAAACCGAGAATAATACTTTCAGATGCATTGAGACAGTAGAGTAAGAGGACACAGGAACAATTTCAGAACAAACACCAAGAAGTATTTCAATAACCAGAGGGTAATTAAACTGGAATAAGTTACAAGGAAGGGTGTTTGAGGCCAGTATACTGGGCTTATTTTTTAAAACTTTGTCCCGTGATGTTAGGGTGAATGTTTTGGAAGATGAGATATAATCAGAACATCTCTTGTGATCTTGTGAGTATTGTCTTTCAAATGTTGTCAGTTGTATGAATTTTGAAGTGTATTCACTCTTTTAAGGAATTTCTTGTTTTTGTTCCAGATGTTGATAAAGAAAAAATTGAAGATGATGTGAGCGCAAAGGAAAAAACTGATAAAGAATCCAAATTGGTACAGGCAATCGTTATGGTGATGACATACTGTGAATCATTGCCCAGATGTCTCAGCGCCATTCTTGAAGGCTATATTGACAGACACCAGCTGTGGGATCAGTTGTATAATCTATCAGGTCATATAATATAGATATATTAGAATCTAGTTGTGAATTTAGTTTGTTTAATGAACACTATTTTGCCCTTCATAATAGAACATAATTCTATCATGAAAATATAGAGGCCGTTTTTTGTGATTTAAAAAAAAAAATCATTTGAATTGTGAACCAGCCAAATGTAAATGATTATACTGGTTGCAGCTTTCCTGCTTTTTAATATTTGATCATTTGGAAACTACCTGTATCCATAAAGACTGGCTGATGATATCAAAATAGTACAGATTTTATTTGATGTAAACCATGTTTCTGATTTCCTCAGACATAATACTACATTTAGTGTGCTGTAGTGATGTGGAGCAGAAGCCTAATTATATTTTCAGCTCCAGATCTATTTTTACACAGAAATACATAGACTATATAGCACCAAAACTAGTTTGGGCTGGTGTTTATATTCCATATGTGTGTCTGCCCTTCTAATCTGCTCTTCATATTCCCCTCCCACGCCTAATAATAATAATCCCTCCAAAACCCCCCAAAAATAATAAAAATTGGTCATTTTCAATCTATGACTGTTTGTGGGACACTGCTGTGCGCAATTGGCTGCCGCGTTCGCCCACAAATATACAGTCTTTATAAAATATACTGTAAAATGTACTTTACAGTGTGTTCTGTGAAGCGCTTTGGGACGTCCTCTTGACGTGAAAAGCGCTATATCAAATGCAAGGATTATTATTATTATTATTATATTCTCTTCTGCTTTAACTGGCAGTGAGTTCCACAATCTCACCACTATCAATGTAAAGAACTTTCTCCTTAGCTCACTTTTTGATCTGATAGTGATTATCTTATAATTATGCCCCTTTGTTAGAGACTCGACAACAAATGGAAACAATTTATGTCCACTTTACCTCTATCAGGTATTTAAATTACCTCTGTATCCTGCTCGCTCCCTCCACTCAGCGGTTTCCCGCCTGCTTCACGTCCCCCACCGCCCTTACCCCACTATTGGCGGACGGGCCTTCTACCACTCTGCTCCCGACCCACAGCTCGGATCCGAAATTGTCTGTCCAGCGCCTTGGGATGTCCTCCCAACGTGAAAAGCGCTTTACAAATGTAATTTGTTGTTGTTGTATCAGGCTCCGTCTCAAATGCCACATCTCCAGAGATAAAAGTTTTATCCGGTCTTGTCTTTCTTGATAACTGTATCCTCTTATCTTTGTAACATTCTAGTAAATTGACCATGCATTCGCTTGTTATTACAAATGTGATGTAACCATGGTTTTATATTACAAACAACTTGCATTTATATAGCGACCTTCAAGTAGGATGACTTCGGTGGCAGAGTTGGACACTGTTCAGTATAAATTTTAACAATTCTTCCTTACTTTTTGTACTGTTTAAATCAACTGAAAAAAATCACTATTCACATCTTGAAATCTTCAGAGTACTTTAATGTTATTCAACAGCCAGTACTCTGATCCCCTTAACAGATTTAACATTAAAAAAAATCTGTTCCAAGTTCCCAGACTGTCTATTCCAAGAGCTTTGAAAGAACCATGGGGGAGTGAACTCAGTAAGATTCACAAATTCCTGGTTTAAACAGGGCAGGTGCGAATCATTCTGCTTCTTTCAAAACCTCTTCCAGGAGGTGTCAAGTGTGGAGTCTCTACCCATTTATACTGCATGATGGGTGGTAAACAGTAGCGAATAATAATCCTTGCATTTGTTGCATCGCCTTATCACTTAGTCGAGACATCTCAAAGTGTTTTACATAAATATTAAAGTAGGTAAAGTGCAGATATTCTTTTGCATTTTATGACATAAAAATGCATAAGGCAATATTCAATCACAAGTGACATAACCCACTTTCTGTGTCATGTTATTGGTTATGTGCTTTAGTGATACAGTCTCGTTTTTCATCTGACTGGAGTGTACTGCAAGGTTTTAACAAAAATGGGCAGTTCTGTTGACTTCACAAGCCACAAAGCATATTTTTACACAGTATTTGTGTGTAATGGAGTGATATATCAATTAGATATAAGTAGATATTGTTAAAACTGTTTCAGTTCATCTGTGAAGTTTCCGAATGATCTAAGTTTTGTGCTTTGTTGATATTACTATCAGTTAAATTGAAATATCTAGGCAAACATATTAAATACATAAATATTTCATATATTAAAATATTAAAATATATTTCATATTAAACAAATCTAACCTTTAAAAGTCTTAATTTCATGAAACAATCACTATTTTCTGCAAAATTTGCAATGAATTTTATGGCAGGTTCACGAATTGAAGAAATGCAGAATATTTTGGATAAGAGGATCTGTGAGTCTGTGTCATGAATACTAGAACGTAAAGTCGAATTGACAGCTCAGTGTAACTGAACTTGAGCTTGTTGCTTTCTTTTGACAAACTGCCAGTCAGTAACGATCATTCATCTGTGTTCCAATAAATGAAACTTCTCATATATATGATGACATTTTGCCCTGGGGAAAACAAAGGATTTTATTATAACAAATTCCAATTTGTATGATTATTAAGTGGAACATTCACTAAGTACTGTAATATTTTAAGAATGCCTGGATGTTGACTAATGTTACTTCAACTTACAGCTGCAGATACATCAGAAGCAGCAGTGTTGAGAAGCCTGAAACAGTTTATATCCAAACCGATGAAGAAAATTCTTAAGCAGGTTATTTCCTTAATTCTTGTGTGGCAAGCAGTAGAGAATCCTAGTATCCATCACCATAAGCAAATACTTCCAGAAAGTTTGCTCAACAAAATTCCGAAAGAATGGGATTATATACCAAGGGAAATTAAAAGAAGAGAATCTGGGAAAAGTAAGTACAAACAACATTCAGTGAATCTCCAAATGAAACATTTTGGGTTCTGATGGTGGAAAGAAGCCGTGTGGCCAATGTTTGAAATGTAAGGTTTTAAGAATGGGATAAATAATTAACTGTATTTTATATGCGTCCTCAGCGAGTAATTAGATGTGAGATACATGAAACAATTTGATGAAAACTAATGTTGAAAAATTTGTTGAAAGGTTTACAGTACAGTTAGTATCAAATTTAATTTTCGGTATTAAATTGATTGTTCATTAAACCGCATATGTTCAGAAATGCTGTTACATGTTAAATGCAGACTACACAACTTAACATCCAATGAAAAACTGGAAATTCAGCAGAACTTGTAGGGGTAATTAAATTAGGCACAGTACATGGTGTGGAGTCTTTGTGGCGTCCTGCAGCTCAGTGGCAAGAGCGCTCACCACACAAATGAGAGACCTGTGTTTGTTTCCTGGCAGGGTGAAATGTTGGCTTACTCCACATGTCTCTGTTTACCGAGCAGTAAGTAGGAATCCAGTTGGTAATCGATTGGCGATTCGCTTTTCTGGGGAAAAAGCACCTGCCCTGCTAATTTTCCTTTTAAAAAAAATAATTTGATCACTCAATCCACGACTGTTTGTGCGCAATTGGCTTCCGCGTTCGCCCACAAATATACGGTCAATTCACTTTACAGTGTGTTCTGTGAAGCGCTTTGGGACGTCCTCCCGACGTGAAAAGCGCTATATCAAATGAAAGGATTATTATTATTACAATAATCTTTTAAAAAATAATAATTTGGTCACTCAATCCACGACTGTTTGTGGGACACTGCTGTGTGCAATTGGCTGCCGTGTTTCGCCCACAAGTATACAGTCAATTCACTTTACAGTATATTCTGTGAAGCGCTTTGAGACATCTAGAAGACGTGAAAAGCGTATGTCAAATGCAAGGATTATTATTATGTATCCATTTCTGTCTCATTTGTAGGTTAGCTGATATTTAGGGACCAGGAAAATTTGAACAAGAAATAAAATTATAAAAGATAAAACATGTACAAATAAATGGGAATATTAACCAACCAAGGATACAGAGGTCACACGATCATAAGTAAAATGATTTGCGAAGATCATCAGTGCTAATCAGGGTTCATATTTTTCTTTCAGGTTTCACAAGACTTGTGGCTCAGGCTGTTTCTATTGTAATTGGTAACACACCTGCAGCAATTGCATCATTGCCCTTACCAATTAAATTTCTCTTTAATTTAGTAGAAAAAAAACTTAATAAGAATAATCCTGACCTCAGACAAACATGCCTTCTTTGGTGTTTCATTATGATTGTTTGTCAAATTCTGGAAGATGGAAATGCTATTGAGTTTTTGACGAGTATTACAATAGATAGATGGAGCAAAGAAAAACTGAGTTTGCTGAGTGAATGTCTGCAGACTATTATGGGACAACAGAAAAGAAGCCCTAACCAAATAGTGCAGAAGGTTATCCATTGCCTGGAAAAAGAAAAACCTAAATGGATTGAAGACCAACTACGAAAAGCTAGAAGATTGTGCACAGAAAGGTAATTGTAATATTATGCATTGCATATTTGTTCAGGATTATACTCAAACATACATATACCTAGTTATTTGACAACATAGTTCAGTTCATTAAGAATTTTATTTGTGGAGAAAATGACACTGATTAAAGTTTCTAATCTAAACTTTAAATAACATTGCCTCTAAAGATGATACTGAAGTAAATTTTTTGCAGCTAAACAAAAATTAAAACTTTAGTTATCTACACTGAGAGAAAATTACTGAAAGAAAAGTATCTTAACTTTTTAACTTGTATAGTCTTAAGTCAAATATAAAACATAATCTTAAACTGTACCTTCATAAGCTCTTGGTGGCAATCAGATATTCTCATTTTAAGTTGAGGATTTTATGATGATGCTTGTTTTAAATGCACAACATATAGGACAACTCTTATGTTTTTTATTTAAGTTTCCAGTGTATAATTTTATGTTTAAAAAAAATTAGGTTACCTGTTTGGACAGAGATGAGCTAGAACAGTTGTTTTTTCATTGTGATGAAGTCATGTTCAGTGACCAATTCATGGCTTGTTACACAATTTACATCATGGGGTACAAACAAATAAAGAGGTATGACAAGTATGTTTTAATGAACAATGTCCTTTTAAGAGATTGCTGAGAGGGATGAATATTTTTACTTGTAATGCTTATATCTTAACTTCAGCTTTCCTTAGACATCACTGTCCGGAAGACTAGATGATGCTGAGCCAGAAACATATGTATCACTGAGCACTCAAATTGCTATTGGGTTAAGTATAACGGATGATATTTTTTCACTTGTATGAGGTATGATAATTGGTTATTGACTGGTTCTTGGTTGGGAGGTAAATTTAAGGTGTATTCCCGAAGCATGGATACATTTCATTAACAGCAGTTTGGGATTATGGTCAGGAGTCTATTTCTATCTACATTATGCACAATAAACTAAAATACCTTAAATCAGCAATTACAGTAGTAGAGTGCTACCAGTGTGGTCTAAAGTACTCTTATAGAGTATTACTGGAGTAGTTGTACAGTTGTTTTAATGATTACTTTAAAATGTCATGCTTCATTCAAGATATAAGTTCCTTATAACAATAAAAAGGTGAGACACAAGTAAAAATAACTTGCTTGTAAAAATATGGTATGGTTGAATTCTGCATTTTGTCCCAAACATTATTATGGAATTGCCTGGTCAATAGAAACAAGCAGCACCATCCACTCTCTCTTATTTAGTTTAAAATTTTAAAATAAGTAGACAAGGTACATTTACTATTATTTACTTCAACATCATAAGAGAACGTTAGCCGGTGTTTTATTTTTGGCTTTCATTATGTGTGACATGTAGTCGGACAAAGGCATAAATGTTTGGCATAAATTGATCCTTGTTCTTTTAACTGGATGTTGCACCTATATTTGTATGCTATTATGATTCTGTTTTTATGTTAACTATAGTAAGCTTTTGATGCAGATTTATTTTAATAATATTGTTGTCTTACTCTAACAGAATAAGCAAACTCTTTGTTATTATAGGATTTTTGGGGATTGTTTAAAGTTTGTGGAATTTAAAAAATGCTGCTTTAATATTCCATCAAGTCATAACTAATTGATTATATGACATTTAGATTGTTTTTCAGTTATGTACATTATTATAATAGCAATAATTATTGTCACCATATCCAAACCACTAGTATAAGGTGCAGCAACATAGATGGCACAGAGCAGGTTCAGTTCTAGATTCAAAGGATAGATTCACAGTATGTCAAGTATTAGAGAAAGTGGCAGCAGTATGCATCACCTGCTTGTGTATACTTTGTGGTAACATTATTGTTCATTAAAATTACTTTCAGTCTGAAGTATTGTCTGAGTGGGAAGCCATCAGTCAGTTTTGTAGAAAAAAATATGCAGTTCAGAATCTGAAGAAATGCCTGACTTTGCAAAGTAATTTGTCCAAGAAAAGATTATTGTTTTCCATCATAGTGACCCTGACTTGGCTGGCTGGGTGCATACATAGATTAAGATGAATGCAGTTATTCCTTGGCTGAGGACTGCCTCTTTCAGGGCACATTCTCTCTAATGACATGATTGATAGGCTGTCCCAAATCTACAGGGGAACTCATTAATCATTGCAGTGACTGAATACAATCATCTGCTTCACCTGCAAAGTGATAGACAGAAAAGGATACAATTCAGGTGCTGACACTGATGCACTGATTGGTCAGAGGGCCCCTCAACTTTTTCAATGTCAGCTTGAAAGATCCTTGATAAATGACACAGTTTGTGGCACCCTTCTGTTTCAAAAACAAGGCACTGTATCCTTTTTGAAAGTCTTCAGTTGGTATTTAACAAACAAAGAAAAATTTGGATATTTAAAATTCTGCTCTGACATATGAGGAACCTTGTTTTTTATTTGTTACTCAAATAAAATGAATTATGATAACTCTCAGGTTAGATTCTAACTTATTTTTATTCTTATCTTGTTCTTTCACTTCCCTCTATCTCTTATTTTTATTCACCTTGAGAGACCATTCTCTTCAGCTAGGATAGAAGTAAACCGAACATTATTTCCCACGATGATGTTTACATACACTGAATCAATGCTGCACATTTATTTATTCCCTCTACACAAGTCCACTTTTAGTGTTGAATTTGAAGTGCAAATCATGTTGGAATCAAATGGAGCTCAATGTTGAATTAACCAATTAAATGTGTAATATAAACTCCGTAACTCTTTCCGGAGTTAGCCACTTAACTTTTTGTTCTAATTTTGAGGTGGTTGTATTTATATTAGGATTACATTAAGGCACCTTCATTTCCAGTTGATAAACTGTGCATGTCAACCAAAAATACTCCTCTTGGGTCACTCCTATCACTGAAAGTTCCTGGCCTGATCTTCAGATGCCTATATAGTTAGAATTCCAATGGTGATTCTTTGTTGCCTATTATACACCTCAGAAATTCTAATATTGAACATGATGGTAATTGCATTAGACATCTGAAAACGACATTGACAGACTGTGATATGATGATGCATCTTATGGTCTTCTACCAAAGTTTTGTTCAAGCCTTCGTAGTTTCTCTTCAAAATTCTGTTTGAGTTGATTGTTCATCGCAACAATAAATAAAATGAGGACTTAAGAGACATATCAGTGTAAACCTTTCCTGAAGCAAATTTGTACAATAGAGATGTAACTTCTGAAAGAGATTACCAAATTAAGTTTCAAACTTGTCCTAATTGCTCTTAATCCTTCTCTGACAATGCTGTTTTATGCATTTGACCAGGGATGGCAGTGTTGGAGAATAAAAGCCTTTTTTTCAGTTTGAACCTATTGACAACATAGGTCAGAAACAATATAGAGAATTTATCTACATTAGCTCAGCAAAGTCTGAACTCCTAAATTTAGATCAGTGACTTCTAACTGACACAGCCAAAATAGCTTCACTGGTCAGGGTAACCAGTAGTGATAGTTAGGAAAGGTTTGTAGTGTAGGCTTAATGCACACTGAAAATTGGTTTTAGGTTGCCTATTTTACTTAACGAGTTAAATAGTACCTCTCCAACCTACTATCCCCCTACCTACCTGCCCGTACCCTCCGTTCCTCTGGCTCCGGTCTGCTCCACGTCCCCCCCCCCACCCCCCTACCATCGGTGGTCGGGCCTTCAGCCCCTCAGCCCCGAGGCTCTGGAACCCCCCCCCCCCCTCCTTCAAGGCCGGTCTCAAAACCTTTCTCTTTGACCGTGCCTTCAGCCCTTGCTTCCTCTCTTTCTTCAAGGCCGGTCTCAAAACCTTTCTCTTTGACCGTGCCTTCAGCCCCTTCAAGGCCGGTCTCAAAACCTTTCTCTTTGACCGTGCCTTCAGCCCCCCCCCCCCCCCCCCCCCCCCCCCCCCCCCCCCCCCCCCATTTCCCCCCTGCTCGGGTCATGACCCAACTGTGCAGCGCCTTGGGACGTCCTCCTGACGTGAAAGGCGCTTTATAAATGGAATCTTGTTGTTGTTGTTGTAGTAATCAAGAAGTCCTGCTCATCTATTCAGCGCTCTTGTTGGGCTGGAGTGCTGTGTACAATTTTGGTCACTGCAACATAAGGGGGCTTCCCAGGCTCTAGAAGCAGTGCAGAGATCACTGAGGATGAACTCCAGTGTTAGAGGAATGAGCTGTGAGCAATGGGGATGATAGGGTTACGGAGCCTGGTGCGGGAGAGGACACAGGCTGCAGAGTTCTGGATGATCTGCAGCCTGTGGAGGGAGGAGTTGGCGAGGCCGACAAGCAATGAGTTTGCATAGTCAAACCTCGATGTTATGAATGCATGCATTAGGGTTTCGGTTTCCTGTGGTATGAGACAGTGGCAGAGCCTCATGATGTTGCTGAGGTGAAAGGCAGAGCGGGTCATGGCACAGATGTGGGATAGAAAGGATAGTTTAGAGCTAAACGAGATGACAATGTTCTGGACTGGCTTTGTAAGGTGGAGTGTGCATCCATGGATGGTGATGCTGTCAGTGCCTGAGGTATGGAGGCGCTGAAAGGAGACAATCAGGAGGTCCTCTGTCTTGTTGATGCTTATTTATAACTTTGATATGTTTATCAAGATTCAGATATGTGTACTAGGCATCGTAATTGATAGTACGAATGACATTCCATATTTCAATTTTAGCTCATTTCTGAATGTTTACATTGATTATTGGTGAATTTTCAACTACTGTTGTGTTAACTACAATGATTCACAAGAGTTGACATTCTGAATTGTATTTCTTAGGGGAGAAACAGTTTAAGTGCATGGGAGCAGATTAAAATTTGACGATAACAGTTAAGATAATTCTGGATTTTTTAAAGATAGGTTTATCCTGTTACAGTGTCCTACTCTTCACAATCATCCATGTCCCTTATGTACATTATTTGATTTGAAAGGTTCAAAGCCTGCAGCTTTATAGACATTGCAAACCTTGAATTAATACCCAGAAGGACTCCTCTGCGCTCATTCCAAGTACAAAAGTAATTTTTTAAGTGACACAA